TAGATTGAAAAAAAAAATAATCTGTAAATTTAATACACGATCATCATAATCGGAGTATAAATACCGTTGCACGTACTCAAGGTGCATAATGTCAATGCGAGATGGTAAGTGTGTGACATATTGCCCACCATTTTCTCTGTGCAAATACAAAGTTTCCGCCTGCACTCAGTGTCGGCCTTGCCAAAAAAAAAGTTTACAAAGAACCTTGAAGTGGGGAAACAATATTAGGGGACGGTGACAAACTATAAAAGCTATAAAAATACTGGGATAAAGCAAATTGTTTATTACCAGTGCACGCCCTCTGAAAGACATTGCAGGGGCAAAACGCCTAAAAAACGCCTAAAACTCAATTTTTTCAACTTTTTGCTTTAATTCAGTCCAGTGTTTGTCTATGACTGTCTTAGCCCGTACAGGTCCACTTAATACCCAGGAGAGAGCTGTTGATGTTTCGCCAGCTGACAACCCATATTCCCTCTGACTTTTGAAAGTTGATTTTGGAATTCAATGTACTCTCATATATTTCCAACCAAGTCTTGTTTGCGTGTAATGAATATTTATATGTCGTCAGCATATGCTGTCAGTTTGCTGTGTATTTCGTTACTCTGGTGGATTACAATACCTGTGATGTTTTATCCTGTCTGATTTTATGGAGTAACGGCTCTGTGGCAATGACATATAAGGTGTGGAGAGTGAGCATCCTTGACGAATGCCTCTACTAATGATATTCCAAAATGTTCGAAAAAAAATCCAGGAGTGTGCCCACAGGAAAAAAACTTTAACTGTTTTCGTAACTTCTTCAAAAGAAAAGGTTTCATCAAGGTTTTCACGATCTGTTTCACAGAGATCTGGCATCCCTTCAAGAATAGTAAGTTGTGGATTCTCATCTATGTTATCGCGTGTGTAATGGGATGCATAAAATTTCGAGTGATACTAAGTATCTCACAAGTGTCTTCATTTAGACGGCCATTTCCCTGCTGAATATAAGCTATCGCTTTCCTTATGTCTATTTAGTTTCTCAAGTTTGAAAAAGTATGAACTGGGGGCATCAGACTCATTAAGATATTTGTGACGGGTTCGAATGGCAAAAGCACGGGAAAGAGAAGCAATGTTTGCCACTGCTCCATTTTATTGATTTCATTTTCTAAGGCGCGCTTTTTCTCTTTATTTTATTTTCTCTACTATTGAAATGACAGTAGTCTTGTAACAACATTTCGGATTTTGTGCTTCCCAATGTCCTTCCGTGTTTGCACATGTTTGAAAGTATTACGTTCAGTTTGCCACTGGACCCATAATTCTGTAAGGACATTACTATTCAAACACCAGACTGGATTTTGCTTCATGTTGTCAGTCAGTTTGATGGCACTATAGAATAGTCTGAAATGCATTGTGTATTTCAATAGCATTCAGACAGCTGCGCATGTGCTTGTAGATGTAAAACCTACCAAACCGTACGAGAGTGTTGCCACGCTCACATGTGAAGATTGTGTTGCTGCCATGGTGATGACGCCATGCATAGATTAACTTGAACCTTTAAAGCACAAAGACTGGTGCGTACGACGTGTGCATGTCTGGCTCCCTACCGCCATTACGGTCAATGTCAGGTTTACAATTAAAATCACCACCAACAATAACAGGATAATCATTCAAATTTTTGCTGCTGAAAACAGTGAAAACGCTCACGTCCGTCTATGGGTGAATACACATTATATAGCATGCCCGTAAGAAGGATTTTGCTTGGAGTGGGGTGGTTGTTCGGGTCTTTTTACTCACTGAAGCACCAACGAACACCGGCGCCAGCTTTCTAGGGGGACTGAGAGCATGTTTCCTCAAGATAAATTTTGAAAATTAAACTTTCTTATACGGTATTTCCTGCGTTTTTGAGACGATTTCAAAAGAAAAATCAGAGACCATAACAAAATTGCTTCAGGAAATATTTTATAGGATGAAAACGAAAGGATGAGTATATCTGGTATATAATAATAATATTTATTAAACACTAAAACAATCTACAGTGAGTTGTTTTTTCGTCGTATAAAATAAAATAAAATAAAATAAAATAAAATAAAATAAAATAAAATAAAATAAAATAAAATAAAATAAAATAAAATAAAATAAAAAAAAATAAAATAAAATAAAATAAAATAAAATAAAGCTAAACAATATTGCACACTATCACATAAAGCACAGTACAATACAATACACTAACTACTATTGCTATTGCTAAGTAGTGAAAAATCACATTAAAATCATAACTATGGTGGAAAGAATAGTTTTTATTTTGGTGGAGCTGCTCACATCTCAATCGCATTTGTACATGTTGTGCAGTTCGGATTCCTGTACAATTTTTCAGAATTTTTCTAGTTCATTTAACTTGCTATTTTTTTATAATTTCATTACAGTACTTGAATAATGCAATTCGATAAGGAAATGTACCTCATATTCAATTTTCTCTTTATCACAGTATTTCCATACTCTTTTATTCCTTAGAGTTTATGATCACAGATTCTGAACTGACATAAGGCTTGTCTCAGTTTAACACTACTCATTGTTATTAAATATTTTTCCATTTGCCAATTTCTTTTTTCCACCATTTGAACTGTTGTCATCAATTAGAGCTTCTTTCCATTTTATCATATAATTCTCTCTCAGCAAAGCAGGTATAATCTTGGTTTGGAGCTGTTTTTCCTTTTTATTTGTTGTTTGATTACTTTATAAAGAATTTTATCACTGATAATTTTGTCAAAAGTTTTTGTCCACCCAGTCTTTATTATTTTGACCTCAACACAGGTGATTTTTTATTAACTTGGGCGTCTCTGAAAGTTTTGATCTGAACCAGAATTTAATTATCTGTGTATTATTTTTTATGGCGAAAACCTAACATTACATGCTTAGTAGCATTATTTTTAACCCCCAGGAGTAATATGCAGAAAGAATAGTTACCATTTTCAATAATATCTCTATTTTTAGTGACTTTCTCTCTCCATACTTCACACACATAGCTAATGATGGAAGCTATCAATTTATCAAATAAATTTAAAGCTGTGGTAGAGGTTTGAAACAGAATTGAGTGTTTGTTTTAGTACGAATATTGCCTTCATTGCTTTTTCATCTTTTCATCTTTTTCATCTAACTGCCTTACCAGTTTTAACTTATTATTCTTAACCTATTACCTAACAGCCTAACACGTCTGACTCGTGCCATGTCAATTCGGATTCTGAACATAGGGCATTTACAATATCTAGGGGGGGGGGCTGGTCGTCAGACTATCTGGACCATTTTTTCAAGCCCCACGTAGGAACAGGGAACTTGCACTGCCACGCTGTTTACATTATTACAACATCCTTTAATAACCTCAATCAACTGTTGTTTTACACAGTTTGACCATGGGCGGCCCCCCTATTTTTACCAACCAACAGGGCTTCACGCCATGGGCGCTCACAAACTTGGCTTTCGGCCAACTTACCCCCCCCCCCCCATTCAAGAATCCTAGATCTGCCCCTGTTGACACATCACAGTGAAAAGACTTTACAATACTTATGGTTATTTTAGACATGACCACTTTATAAATTATCCATTCCTTCTCCGAATGTTTTACTGGCTTTGATACCGCATTCAATTTGTATCCGACCGAAAACTGGATGCTTTGCAATGTTTTCCCTCTTAGAAATGGGTGAAACTACATCATGTCCCGCGGCTGGCCTTATATGACATTAGGGAAATGTGTCGGCGCTTGATCTGCGTCATTCACAAGACGTGAAGTCAGACTTTACTATAGCAACAGCCAGGCGTCACTTTTTTTTACTGGCGTGTCATGGCGTGATAGTTGTTTTAACGCGTGCCGCGCTTCACCCGAGTTTTTACCAGAATAGCGGACTCGGGAAGATCTTTACCAGTATAATACGGACTCTTTACCAGTATAATGCGGATGGATATGGCAAATTAGATCAATGCAGTATTTTGCTGTTATCTCTACCACTACTGTGTCGATTTTCTGCATTTATCTAATTTGCATATTTTTGGGAGGGTGTGGTCATTACTGCCAAAACCATATCTACTCGTTCCAAGGTGTGATCCTACCACATATGAACTAAATTGGTCCAATGGTTGCTGGGATAAGAGCAAATAATTACATTGATCTAATTTGCATATTTTGGAGGGCGTGGTCATTACTGTCAGAAGCACATCTTCTCGTGCCAAGATGTAATCCTACCAAATATGAACATAATCGGCTCAAAGGTTGCTGAGATCAAATGAAATAACTGGATTTAGCTATTTTGCATATTTTGGGGCTGGATGTGATCATATTAATAATAACCTAAAATATGACTTCCGATGATAAAGAAGCTATTTTGAAATTGGATTCTGAGGAGTTGGTTCTGAGGTTCTGAAAAGTTGGTTCTGAGGTTCTGAAAAGTTGGTTCTGAGGCTCTGAGTTCTGAAAAGTATACACTACCGCGACAGTAAATTGTAAAAATGGCGTCTTTGTCAGTTAATTTATTAATGATTTCTGTACTATTTTTGTTAGTTCCCGTTTGATTGTCTCTCGTTTCATTTAGTTTGTCCCGATTCACCGGCGATTTAGATCGAGTACGTTTCTTATTTGCATTATTTGTTCTCACAGCGAACAGCTAGGTTTCTGTACACCTCAGGTTTGGGTGTGGTCAAGGTCTTTGTTGGAACGGACGCCGCCATATTGGTTGCCGTTCACCGTGCCACACGCTAGTATAGTATAGCCAACGGATAATAAATATAACGTTTATAAATATTGTGTGTAGACTGGTTATAGCATCGTATCCATACACTATTTGTCTGAGCAGCATTTTATAAGTCCAACCTTTACGAAAAGCAACTTTAGAATGAGGTATTTTAAATGCGTCTCTTTAAAAGTGTAAAGAACGTGCAATCGGGTTGTAATAAATTTCGTACTGGCGCTAACGTGAACGTTCCCCCGTGCACATTTAATTATTATAATAGTGTAAGTTGTATAAATATCACCGAAATCATATGCTCCAATTACTTTATTTTGAAGATAAAAGTCAACATTAACAACAGATCAAATGTACAAAACGGTGTCTACTTTGTGTAATACTGCAAGTTTCAACCATAGGTACATTTATGCTTATTTTTATTCGCATTATAAATGTATTCTTCATAAATATGTAGCCTCATTAAACTGTTGACGAGATATAACTGCTCATACTGTTTAACCCATATACTGTTTCCTTGATATTGTTCCTTAACAATTCCAAAATCGATAATCGATATTTGTGTAATGAACGACCATTAACATGAATAATATATTTAAATTAAATGTGCCACTCGGTGTGTTAATGAAATGTCGGAAAGACGAGTGGTAGTGTCGAATGGTTACTATAACAACTGAAAATATTAACAGTATGGAAGGAGATTTAAACACTAAACGACGGAGACATGCACCAACATGTAATCTTTTAGATTGGGAAAACTAACGACGTACATGGGATTACTGCTCACAGGCACCTGGAACACTAAATGATATGATATGTGGTAGTAACAATTAGGATTATCAATATTAGTTTGTGGATGTTTCTTTAGTATATTGGCAAGATATATTTTGAAAACCCACGACTGTTTGGATAAGTTGTCATACTAGTTTACATGTATGTCAGCTAAAAACAATGACACTAAAACTGAAATCGATGGAGGTTAGACTGCGGAGCCGTTGTGTGTAAAATTTCTCATACTCATTCATCACTAATGCCGATATATCCAGAAGAAGGGCGTGCATGTCTTATCCAATATGGATGACATTTACAAAGTATAAAAATCATTAGAAATGTTGAACAAATATCCCCAGGTGACTCGCCAGGTGACCTGGTGCCATCACCACTGAATATGACAAAAAATTCAGTGGTGTATTCATTTACTGTATCATCATTTGAAAATAATCATTTATTTTTTTCTTCAAATCGCAATGACACTAGGCACAGGAAAATAAAAATATAGCAAATATGCTATTCCTTTAAATTGACATTATAAATGAGAGGGGGGGTAATATGACCTCATTCCACCTTTGAGTAAGAAGTTATTTGAACAAACGATACGGTACGGTACCACGTGGCGAGGCGATACATCCCAGGACAACTACTTGCCGTAAGAGGGCGCTAGGACATACTAATATTTAATGCGTGTTAATATTCTTCTTTGACCGCGTCATCTTCTGCAGAGTTGAACATATTGTCTATATCATTCAGTGCCATTCGTGTTCTGTAATCGCTGTTCAGCTGTTTTAATAACAAACTCAGGGTAGCGGGTAACTGCAAAATAAAAAAAAATATAAGTCATCATTACATGGCAGCATTATAAAAGGTAATAGAGTGATATTTTTTCAAAACTCATAAAAGGTTCTTTATTATTATTGATATATAGTCAGCATAAGACATGTACATGTACATATTAAATATTTTAAAACATCACAGAAGTCAATAACTGTGTGTTCAAATTTCGCGTTGAATACGTAACATTCAACATATTTTCACAATTTAACACGAATCACACGTTGATACATTCTCTTTATATACATAATGCAAAAAATCGAACACACATAAATGAGGCGAGCACATATTTAACATAGGCATACACCTCTTTACGAGGTTGTACGCTACTGGGAATGAGGGGTTAGTGAAATATTGTTTAGTGAGCAAAATATTAATGTCATAAATAATTCAATCTTTGAAACAGCAGAAACTAACACATAATAACGATAATCAAATTTGAGTTTAAAGATCGAAAGTACTTGCGTAATTTCAGGTTTACTCTAGTTATAAAATAAAACGTCCTTTAAAGCGATAAAAACGCTCGTTACTTATTGCAAATTTGCGCAATTTGGGCCCAGTTTTTTTCTTACAAGTTTTCTGAGTTTCATTTATCATTATTTAGTAACAGGTCCATGGCACGATTTAAAGGGCGGCAGTCGTCGCGCCGAGTCGTGTTCGATATGGGACTCATAGCGACGTATACAGCGCGTGTAAAATATATTGTTTATTTACTTGAAATTCGAACACGCGCTGCGCGACGACCACCGCGCTTTAATATTTCTGTAAAATACGTGCCAATCGACGACTGACTTTGAAACGTTCGAAGTTTCGAACAAACTACCGACACACCTTGCGCGATATGCTTCAGATCGGTGCAGAAGACGACGACCTGCAGCGTCAATGGGAGTTACACGGCATTAATAATGACGTTACACGTTATTACAACTGGCATGTTATGAAGGGATACACGCTATTGAGAATGACACTTTATGGGCCGTTGCCCACTAATAGGAATGTCATGTTATGAGGGATTACAAGCTATGAAGTTTGACATGTTTAAGGGGTTACACGCTATAAAGAATGACATGTAAGGATTGGTTATACATTATACGGAATGACAAATTATGCGGGTTTACAAACTGAAAATATTGGTATGTTATGAGGCTTTCAAACTTTTAAGAATAACAAGTTGTGCGTAACTACATGCTGTTGACATGTTATGAGGGATGCACACTTTTAGAATTTACATGTTACGAAGGTTTACTCACTATTGCGAATGACATGTTATGAGGGTTTACACACTATTACGAATGACATGTTATGTGAGTTTACTCACTATTACGAATGACATGTTATGAGTGTTTACTCACTATTAAGAATGACATGTTATGAGGGGTTACAAACTATTACGAATGATATGTTATGAGGGTTTACACACTATTACGAATGACATGTTATGTGAGTTTACTCACTATTACGAATGACATGTTATGAGTGTTTACTCACTATTACGAATGACATGTTATGAGGGGTTACAAACTATTACGAATGACATGTTATGAGGGTTTACACACTATTACGAATGACATGTTATGTGAGTTTACTCACTATTACGAATGACATGTTATGAGTGTTTACTCACTATTACGAATGACATGTTATGAGGGGTTACAAAATATTACAAATGACATGTTATGAGGGGTTACTAACTATTACGAATGACATGTTATGAGGGGTTACTAACTGTTAAGAATGACATGTTATAAGGGTTTACTCACTATTACGAATGACATGTTATGAGGGGTTACAAACTATTACGAATTACATGATATGTAAGTCTACTCACTATTACGAATGGCATGTTATGAGGGTTTACATAATATTACGAATGACATGTTATGAGTGTTTACTCACTATTACGAATGACATGTTATGAGGGGTTACAAACTATTACGAATTACATGATATGTGGGTAAACACACAATTACGAATTACATGTTATGAGGGTTTACACACTATTACGAATGACATATTATGAGGGGTTACTATTACGAATGACATGTTATGAACGTTTACTCACTATTACGAATGACATGTTATGAGGGGTTACTATTACGAATGACATGTTATAAGGGGTTAAGCACTAATACGAATGACATGTTATGAAAGTTTACACACTATTACGAATGACATGTTATGAGGGTTTACTCACTATTACGAATGACATGTTATGAGGGTTTACACACTATTACGAATTACATGTTATGAAAGTTTACACACTATTACGAATGACATATTATGAGGGGTTACACACTATTCCGAATGACATGTTATGAGGGTTTACTCACTATTACAAATGACATGTTATGAGGGGTTACTATTACGAATGACATGTTATGAGGGGTTAAACTCTATTACGAATGACATGTTATGAGGGTTTACTCACTATTACGCATGACATATTGTGAATATTTTTACTCACTATTACGAATTACATGATATGAGGGTAAACACACAATTACGAATGACATGTTATGAGGGTTTACACACTATCACGAATGACATGTTATGAGTGTTTACTCACTATTACGAATGACATGTTATGAGGGGCTACTAACTATTACGAATGACATGTTATGAGGTGTTACTAACTATTACGAATGACATGTTATAAGGGTTTACTCACTATTACGAATGACATGTTATGAGGGTTTACTCACTGTAAAGAATGGCATGCTATGAGGGGTACACACTACTAAGAATGAAATGTTATGAGATGCTACACGCTACTAAAAATTACATATTAGGGTCGGTTAGACACTGTCAAAAATTGCATATTACGACGGTTACACACTATTACTAATGGCATGTTATGAGGGTTATCCACTATTGTGAATGGCATGTTATGATGGGGTTACTCACTATTATGAATGACATGTTATGAGGGTTTACTCACTATTACGAATGACATGTCATGAAGGGTTACTATTACGAATCCATGTTATGAGGCGTTAAACACTATTACGAATTACATGTTATGAGGGTTTACATACTATTACGAATGACATGTTATGAGGGGTTACACACTATTACGAATGACATGTTATGAGGGTTTAATCACTATTACGAAAAACATGTTATGAGGATTAACTCACTATCACGAATGACATGCTATGAGGGTTTACACACTATTACGAATGACATGTTTTGAT